TCTCTCTCTTTATATATATATATTAATATAGGCTTCATGCAAATCATGAGATACTCATGAAATAATAAAAAATCCACACTTCTCCACTTTTTGGCCTTCAAATTCACATCCCCCCTCTCTCTCTCTCTCTCTCTCTCTCTCTCTACACTTCAATTTAACCACACATCAAAATCTCATTTTCTTGCCAAAAACAACCTCAATGTATTTCATGAGCCCGAGCCCGACAATGCGGCCCGACACGGACCTCTCACTACGAATCAGCCCGCCCTCACAGCCCAAATACGCACTCAAAGAAAACACCCGAGCCGACTCAAGCTCCGGCAGCAGCAGCTCAAGCCACGAGAACGGGCTCCCAATCTCCAGCCAATTGGCCGGGGCCAGTTTTGCACCGGCACAAATGCGGAGCAACCACTGCCAACCCCAAATATACGGCCACGTGGGCAAGAGGTGTTCTAGAATGTCGGTTGGGGTTAGAAGAAGCGCTCGTGCGCCGAGGATGAGGTGGACTTCGACTCTCCACGCACATTTCGTGCATGCGGTTCAGCTGCTCGGCGGCCACGAACGTATGTTAATGATATCAAAATAAATAAATAAAATAAAAAACTAATGTGTACGAAAAGACTTGGTTTCGCACCGAACACCAACATAACATTTAATGTGGAAAACATATATTTATAGCTCGCGAATGTTCGAATTACGCATTATTTTTATATTATTCTGCATTGTTTTTATTACTTTTTTTTTTTGGATGATAAAAAATGGTGCAGGGGCAACTCCAAAGTCTGTGCTTGAGCTGATGAATGTGAAGGATCTAACTCTAGCTCATGTCAAGAGTCACTTACAGGTGGGTTTTAATTTTTATGATGATTAGATCATTTAAATTTGATCATCACCTTTTTTTAATTGCCATTTTTTTATTTTAAATTATTGATTCATATTTAATGTTTATTTTCTCCTTTTTTTCACACTTCTTGTTGTTTGTGATGATGCTTTACATGGTTGTACATTTGGAACCTTGGGGTTTGTTGGACATTTAGGTGGGATTGTGTTTTGACATATGCTTAATTTGTTGTGTGATTAACTCATGCAGATGTATAGAACAGTGAAGAGCACAGACAAAGATATAATAACAGGTAATTAATAATTAATTTGGTGGCAAATAATTTTATATTTCCACTGATTTTGATCAATTTCATTCAATACTTTTTTTGGGTTTTCAATTTCGAATATTTTCGTCAATTTAATGTATCGGATCGATACTCTAATCCGATAAATCTACCTGTTTTTTTTAAAATAATACGATTATCTGATCGATGTTAAATAAATCGTCGTCAAAAGAAATTAATCAAATATCCGATTATCGAATCGTTTCAAACTCTATATTAATAAATACTATAAAAATTTATTTCATAAAGTTCCAAAATTTATTTCATAAAATCTTTTCAAACTCTTTCATTTTTATGATGATTTAGAGGAAACCAAACCATATATATTTCCCATCATTTTCAACATATTATTATTCCAATGAAAATCTTGGACTGACTTGTAATTTTTATATTAACATAGCGCCCCAATGGAATTATTTTTTTACCACAGTGTGACAAAACTCTTTTATATATGCTCCATTGACATATATATTTTTGTATTTGCAGCTCCAATGAGGACAAATTTTAATAATGAAAATATAAATGAGTGCACTGAATTTAGTCCTTCTTTAGCATCTGGTCCACCATCTTTATCATTATTACATACAGCCACCTCAAGTACTCACTCATTACAACCTGTTCAAAGGTTAGTGCAATTATCATTGAATATTTCAGTTTTGTTTGTTTGGTTTTTTTTTTTTGTAAGATTTTTGTCGAGTTTTGATGTGGTCCGGTGCATTATTATTTTCTTCCCATCATTTTCTAGAAGAATATTTAAATATTCCCAGGTACTTTGCCTAGGTCCATTACGAAATTTAATAAGCACCACACTATTTTTTGTACCATCTTTTGGATTTATACAATAATTATCCTTGTGCTTCAAACGATTTTGATAAAAAAATAAAATAAAAAAAATAAATAAATAAATTGGCACCTAACTCAATAAATTGGAAAAAACCAATCGACTTTTGATTTCACTTGACAAATCATCTTTAAAAAGGTAGGCTCGGTAATCGACCCGGTCAGGTCTCCGGGTCATCGTGTCACCGATTGAACCGCCGAGTCACTGGGTCAATTGTTGAACCGGATAATTAATTTTAAAATTATATATAGAGTATTTTTGTCATATAAACATACATAAAAGTAACAAAATTAAATGTTTTGTGTGCAAAAATCGTATATTAAAGTGATAATAATATGTATCTCATGATAATATTTACCGTATAAACATACATACATAGTTTTATTTTGAAAAAACAAAAAATAAAATAAAAATAAAATTAAAAAAATATATATGGGCCGGGTCAACATGGTTGACCCGGAAAGGGTCAATGCACCGAGTCGGCTGGGTCAAGGCTAGGTTAGTCGGGTTTTGACCGGGTCCTTTGTTGCCTGCTGGTCGAAATAGCCAACCCAGACCGGTTTTCGGCTCTGACCTGGTCGACCTGCTGGGCCGGTCCGAATCAAAAAAACTATGTATATCACACAAGAATTTTGTGATGCTTTTCATAATAATTTGCAAAGATAATAATGAGAGTGGCATCTATGAGCTGTGATCTATGTGTTAATTAACTTTTATTTCCTCCTCTAATTAACCTCCCACAAACAGGGGTTCATTGGCATCATCACTAGACAACTTTATTCCAATCAGGCCATCAAATGATCAGCAAAATTCTTCATCTAATTTTCAGGTACTCAAGGTATATATATCCATACCATATGATATTATACAACTACACATTTTCTCCCACATCGTAATACGAGCCAAATAAATTACACACACAATTATTATAACAATATAAGAGAACGTCACGGGACTGATTGACTTGAATGCATTATTCTGACTGCGTAATGGTTAGCTCTTCAAACAACAATCTCACTGAAACTACACAATAAAGTCGTCAAACTTTAGAAAGCACGAAACACAACGGGCTTTCTTGACGTGGCCCGTCAGCCCAATGAGCTCAAACCGTTTTGACACTACAATCCATATATAGTAATGGGCTTGGCCCACATCGGAAATTCAAGCTGGCCCAATCTTCTCATTAATTTTCATAGCCGTTATATATATTTAGGGAAATGTTATGGTCTCGTTACGGAACCATTCGGCCGGGATTTGTAACTGTTAGATCATCGTGTAATCGTCTGGGATATTTGATCTAACGGTTAATATATATTTTGCTGTAGGGAGGATTTGACGAGGCTGCAGCCCACAAAATGTCAGGAGAATTAAAGGAAGAATTTGATAGGTTTAGTAATAGCAGCAGCAGCAGCAGCTTGTCTTCTCCAGCAGATGTGTTGCTCAATTTAGAATTTACCTTAGGAAGACCAACTGGAATCCTCTAAAACTTACCTTCTTCCATGTTAAATTACATTTTTACTATTTTTACTATTGGAAAATGCTACGGTTCTGTTATGGAATCATTCCGTCACGGGTTTATAACCGTTAGATCAACTATTCCTAACGGTTACATGATCTAACTGTTACAAACTCCGACGGAATGGTTCCGTAACGGGACTGTTGCATCTCCCTTTACTATTATTATTATATTATTATTAGTCAGTTCTTCTGTTTTAATTTCCAGATTTAAGCACATTGCAAAAGTTAATGTGAACACCCAACCAAAAAAAAAAAAAATTATGTAGTTATATATATATTCTGGCCTTAAATCATATAATTCCCAAAATGATATTAACTGTAATGTAACTGAAAAATCCATGGATAACATAACATTCCCACTACTATCCAACCTTATTAGAAAGTCCATTTTATTCAAACTGTAATTGCAATCACAAACACTGATCCATAACAAAAACTTTGTTGAACCAGAGAAAAAGCAGCTTTATATAGATATATGTATGGACTTAGGCAAAACTGACATCATACTTAGGCTGCCCGTTCGGATGAAACAGCCCGAAATGCTTCTCGTGCTCGGGGCTCTTCTCGTTCTCGTCGAAAAGATCGAACATGTACGTCTCGATCTCCTTCCCGGGCCTCTTGGGGGTCCCTGCCCCCACGTGCTGAGGCAAGTTGGTGTTGTAAGTCTTCGCGTAGTCCATCGAGGCCGTGTCCCCGCCGTCAGACGGCCACCCGCTCTCCGACACCACGACCTCCAACGACGAGCCGCCGCTCTTCTCGAGAGCCGCGTACACCGAGTCCAGCATCGCGGAGAAGAGGTTCGGGTAGTGGACCCCGCCCGCCTCGGTCCCGTTGGGGGACATGAAGAGCGCGTAGTCCAAGTCGATCTGCGATTTGCTCGCTATGTATGTGTAGTATGGGTAGATGTTGACGAGGAGCGGGGCATGGTTCTCAACGAGGTGTTGGATGATGGGGTTGATGTACGAGGCCACTTCGGGATGGAAAGCCCCGTCGGCCGGCGGGAACGTCGTGCCGAGGAGAGTCATCTCGACTGCAGTCGAGACGGCGACTTGGCTGCCGAGCCCGGCCGAGTTGATGGCCTTTTGGATGTTTTGGAGGGCCGGAAGGACGGAGGATACGTATTGGGACGAGCCGCTGATCAAAGGGCTAACCTCGTTCCCCACCGCAAGGTACCTGGAGGCCAAAACGGTAATTCTTCTGTTAGGCTAGGCTAACAAATATTCGTCACTTTAAAAAACGATATACATAAACAGAAATATGAGATTTTTTATTGTATAAGTATGTATTTCTGTTTCAAATGAATATGATGAATCGATCTGCCTAACGGTTAGGCTGCGTTACCAAAAAAAAAATTCTGCTTAGACAAAGGCGAATGAACTGGTAATTATTAGCCTATATATATATGTACCTGAATCGAACATTGGGGTAGCTCTTAACGTTGGTCTGGACCCATTTGTCGGCGTTGGCCTGGCTGGCGGCCACGTACTGGAGGTCGGTATTCGGGACGCCGAGCACGAGCTCAATGCCGGACCCACTAAGGGCCTGCTGGGTGGGGTCGTGGGGGTTGTACATTCTCAAGAGTTGGATGTTGTGCTGCTTCAATAGAGCCACCACGTTCGATGGGTCGGGCAGGTCGTTTCCCATCATTCCGTAGCAGACCCCTACACTGGCAGCTGCAGTACAGTATATATACATTAAAGTCTTTTAGTCGAATTTCGAGGATCGATATCGAAATCTAACGATTACATTTCCCAACGTTCTAGTTTTTCGTTTCAGTCGATCGTCAGGTGAACGAACGACGAAAGTTAGTGGAGTAAATAAAGCAAACCTGTGAAATCCAAGGTGAGCATGATTAGTAGGGCACAAAGAAGCATGGCTGCAGGGATGAACTGGCTGCTTTTGGAGTTGGCCATGATAGAAAAGACTATGGATTATAAGATAGAAACTTGTTGTTATGATGCCTATGAATAAGCACTGTCTAATAATCTCCCAATTCATATCATATTTATAGTCTTTTTTTTCCCATCAATCAATGCCTAACGATTGATACCTTTAGGCCGCCATTTTCTCGCATAAATATGCACATTTTACTTTGAAATGTGCCATGACATTTGGGTATCATGTTTTTCAGCAGCTCTTGTCGGTATGACTGCACATATTTTCAAAGGGAAGGCATATTTTTTTCAAATTTTATTCCGAAATGTATGCATGATTCTCTTATGTGTTAATGTATATTTTATTTGATTTTTTTCGACACAATGTATAATTTTTTTTTTATTTTAGTACAAAAGAGGAGGCCAGAGACCTAGAATGAGATTAAGTTAAGACTCGTCGGGTGTAGGAGACCCCGATAGCATCGTGATCCAGCCATGTCCCCAAGCCGGAGGGGATGTTGATACACGCTGAAGTCCCAACGAAGAGGATGCCGCCAGAGTAGCCATTTAGTCAGCCGCAAAATTAGTCTCTCTATGAGTGTGAACAACCCGAATATTCAATCTCTTTGCATCATCTCCCGTATGGCTTGGACTAGAGGCCGGTGAGTTCCATGATGGCCGCAGGTACCAGAGACCATGCTCGTCACACACATACTATCAACCTCGACAAGAACCTAACGGTAACTCCGGTCCCATGTCAACTGTAGGCCCTGAAAGAGACCTCGCAACTCAGCTCCCGTGACTAGTGCAGAGGCCGATATTCATTAGGAAGCCAGCAACCCAGTTGCCCGACTCATCCCTAATAAGACCACCCGCGCACCCATTGCCCGTACTGCTTTGAAAAGCGCAAGTATTCACCTTAACCCATTAACAAAAGGTTGTTACGTATATGAAATATATTACTTTTTTATTAATCTCATCCAGTCAATTTTAACTGCAGCGATTGCTCACAATTTTTCGTATGATTTCAACTTGATGAGTGGAATATTAATTTGAATGATGAATCAAATAATTTTTTCGATATGTTCACACTGATCACTTTTGGAAGTTCAAATTTTAATGAATGGAATAATGTCAATAAATTATTCGCCAAAACTTTAGACTATCAATTTAATTTAATGTCATAAGATTCGTTGTGAGTGATTTCAATCTCAGCTTCTTATGACTATGTTCTGTTGTATATGTTAAATATTCAGAAGTGAAAACAAATCCTCACGGAAATATTCCGTGACGGACTCTAGTCTTTCTCAAATTTAAGTCATTGGCAAAAAATTATTCACGTTTAAAAAAAAAAAAACAACAACAACAACAACTAACATATGCATGCGCAAACATGCTTGAGATTCGCCA